ATTGAAACTCATATTTCACACCGATAGCCATGGGTTTATTAATCATTATGTAGTGTGCAAGCCGGAAAAGAGTTAAAAGTTGATGAGATCTGAGCGACTGTCATTAACTCTGAAATATCGCTAATCATCGATTTTATCGCATTTCATAAGGATACAACGTTATTAGAATGACGTATTAATTGTGCATATTTGTTTGCAGTAGAGGATTTTTTTTTTATAATTAGATTAAATAATTCTTCAATTTAAAGTAAATTATTTCCATAATTATATGGATAAAAATATCTTGATACTCCAGTTATTTCAATGCATAAAAACGTACTTTTTTATGGCCTATTTTCAATTATCCTTTTATAAAATTTCAGTTAAATGCTAAAACATTATATTATGAAATTAATGGCTTTAACGGAATGAGAAATTATTATATAGGCAAAAATTATACCAAGCATTAATAATGTTTTACACAATATTCGAACTTGATAATAATGTTTCTGCAAAAATATATTTTTATATTTAGTTATTAAATTTCGAGATATTTGAAAGATTTATCTGTTAGAATAAGGAATATATAAATTTAAATTAATTTTTCAATCTATAATAATTTTAATTAATGCTGAATTAATTTAAGGCAAAATTTATACTCAATAAATGTTTTGGTTCAAATTGATTATTTTTTAACTTTTTCTTACGTTAAGGAAATAAATAATTTTTGTTTATTTAATGAATAATTTCCACGATACAAATTTATGACGTATAATTTTTATAATTATTATGACGTATATTTATGACGTGTATTCTTAGAATTTCAATCGGATAAGTATAGGTTGTATATTAATATATATGTAATGCAATGCTTCTTTGTTTGTCTAAATTAAGCAACAATCTTTAGTTCTTATTATATATGTTATTTTAAATGATTTTGAGTTTTTATGTATAAAAAAAATGTGATTTAGTCCAAATTAGAAATGTTAAAAATAGCAATATCAAAAAAAAAAAAAAAAAAAACTGATGATTTATAATTTATTTCTCAAAATATTTATTACGGTGTTATATTTTTATTGTGAATTTTAATTTTCTGTCGATTTCTGAATTTCTTTTTTTTTTTTGTTCTTTATTTATTAAAATTTTGTAGTATGCAATTTTTCAATATCGCAGTTATATATCAGTCAGTTCGTAATACATTAAATTTCATGACTCTAAAGTCATTGGACATTATTAATTCTCAATTCATTTTTAATATAATACAGGCACTTACTTTTATAGGAATCTATGCAGTCTTTGTAAAATCAGTCTAGAGTGAAAAGTTAAAAATATGCTGTTGATAATAACCACAAAAATAAAATGTACTCATTATAAAATTGTTTATTATGAAATTCCGTAGCGGCAAATTAACTACTGTCAAAAATGACTCATTTTGTATATCAGTGGCGTTGTCATAGTCGTTTGTGCATATTATAAGCTGAATTCTCACCACGGCACGCTTAACGGAAGCTCAAAAAATTGGTACACGCACTCCTGCTCTCGCTCTTATTCTCTCATGTGCTGACGAGGTGAAAAAAGGCTTTAAAAAAATATTAATTGCCGAATCGCATGGTCCAACGACTTCACGAAGCTTCGCGATGCATGAAAAGCGTTACGGGTGCTTGGCCATCGACTGCCTTTCGACTGCTCTCTTTGCTTCCTATGACGTATATTCTCTTTATGGTTATATATAGATAATCGTACAGTATCAGGGTTCGCTTTGTTCTTGCTTGATATATTATATAACAAGAGCAAAGAAAAAAATCGAACGAACGAGAATGTACATCGATTGGCAAATTAACGTTCAACATAGAAAAGCGATAAGATCCGTAGACGTCGAATTAGTTCATAAAAGAAGAAAACAAAAATTGGCACTGAGTGCTACACAACTTTTAAATATTGAACAGTAACCTGGTTTATTTCCAAATAGTACCAAATCATTGTTATAAAAGTCTATGGAAAATATTTTCTTTGTATTTTTATAAAAATTAAAATTAATACAGTAGATATGTCAATATACTGAAGACACACTAAAGCAATGTATATACTAAATTGTAACATTTCACTGCGCTAAATAATATAGTTTTTTATATATTTACGACGAAATAGCACTTCACACTATTAATAAACCTTTGCTATATTTTTAATTGCGCATACATAAATAATTTATTTAATACTAAAATTAAATTTTTTGTATTTTCTTTTTACTATACGTACTAATTCATTAATGACATGCGAAGTGATATACACAATCGAACGGAAATGTCGAGTTTAAAGTGAAAGAAATAATGAAAAATGACTTCATTATATTATAAAGTAACATTTTTTGCAGCATGATCGTTTATAATCTTTCTAAAAAATATTATATACAAAAGAATACTAAGGATTAATCGTTCCAATGCAATATTTAGCTGTAAATGTAAATGATGTTGTAGGGCGTATGGATGTTGAGAAAGCTTTTTGAAAAGGTGAACGTTTACAAATTTCCAATTACATTCTATACGAGTTAAAGTAAATGAAGGATAAAAATCCTATAAAATTTTTGCATTCATTTTTCAATGTCTGGACAACTTTATTTGATTGAATACTGTCAGTTAAATAAGAAAGTAGTAATATGTAAAATAAAATAAAAATAATTATCGTTTTTCAATTTATTGGAAAAATTATTCTTAATTTTTTTTTTCTAATAATTTATTTTTATTTATGCATTCAATTTAATTTTATACGACTATAATATATTCACAGCTTCATTTTTCACATCTATTTTAAGCAACAACAAGTATTTTAATAAGCCTTTAACAGGCTCTCTTATTTCATTCTATATTTTTTCTAAAATTTCTTATTATAATCAATTTTGTGCAAAAGCTAAGCAATAAATATATAAAGTAAGTAAAGAGTCAAACACCGTAGATTCAAGCGTGTCCTAAAACACTAAATTTCAATCAACTGCAGAGACTGACGTTTTTGGGATTTCTGAGCCGCAAAGTACGACGCAATTCGAATACAAATAAGATGATGGGAAAGTAAAAATGAAAAAGTATTCCCCTCAGCATTCCTCAAATAAAACTCTTAAGCTTTCTTCTGACTCCATTTATATATGCTCGGACAGTCTCAGGTGGGTGACTTTCTTTACTAGGCAAGCTCAGTATCTTTTTAAAGCTCTAGCAGCCAGAGGCAATAAGTCGACGGCGACGACAACTACGACGGACGAAAGAGAGGGAGGATGTTAAAAGATCAAGGCTTCATATAAGCACCGACACGTTCTCCAGGTGTTTGATTTCGTCTGCAAATAATAATGGATATCATATTATTGATTGCAGATAAGAAGATTAGAGAAATATTGACGAAATGAGGAATCTAAGGATCTAGGAGATGTTTAATTGACAACTGCAGTGCTTAATATCACGAAGTAGAATTTGATGATTTAAACATTTTATGTCTAATAAGGAGGCTAAAGAATTCACTTGAATTGAGTCGTTTTACATTCTTAAGAAAATTTACTGTTGTTACCACTTTACACCGAGGGTATTTCATTAAAAAAGATTGTTATTTAGTATAATGTAGGAAAACAAAATATAATGCCTAATATTAAATATGGTTTTATTAACATGTATTTTTAACAATTGTATCACATCGAGTATAATATTTATAATTTGAAACAATAATTTAATATAGTAACCAATCATGTATCATTATTATTAAATAAATTATTGCAATAATAAAAAGTTAAAAATAAAAAGCCCATATAACGGACCTACAGAAATTTTTATATAGTAAAGAAATATAAACCAAGCCAAGTTGTAAATAACTCAAAATTCATAAATTAGATGTTTACATACAAATTACACTTTACTAATCTTATTTAATCTTATGCAATTTATTAGTTATTTTTTCTCTTTTTATTTTATCATATTATATGATATTTCATTGATTATTTCTTAACTATTATTATTATTATTATTATTATTATTTATTTTAATTTATTACCAAAATATATATTATCCACCTAGTAGGCGTTATATTTTTCTAATCTTTAATATCACAATTCCTTGAAGTAGATATAAGCTTATATAAAATTTATAATAATATTATACAGCTATTATTTATAAATAAATTTAAAAAACCTTTTTTTTTTTCTAAAAAATTAGTTACTTATAGAGTAATAATTAATTTTTAAAGTAATTCCCATCATTTATCCATTAGTAACTTCATTGAAATCGTTAAATTTAATAAATATTATTTTCATTAATATTGTATTTATTAACCATTCTGTAAAATACTTACAAAATTTAAGTCAGTACAATGTATTTAAGGTTAAACGAACGAGTTATATAATTTTGTTAGTCAAGTTATATAATAATATTACATAGTTAGAAACAAAAAATAAATAAAAATTACAATTTTCAAGTATTAATATAAGACTTAAAATTTATTTTAAAATATTAAATTGATTAAAAAATATATAATTTTTTAATCTTTTAAATAAATCATTCATATTATTTATATTATTAAGTGATGTTAACTTATAAATATGAAAATTTTTGCCCTTTAATTTGGAAGTAAATGGAAAGCGTTGGAGATAGATTAACTCAAGTAAGAAAAATCTGGATGAGCGAAAGCGTTAAAGTTTCCGATATAGGATTTGCGATTTGAAATGTGAAGCTCGTCGTCTCAGTCAGGTTAATAACCGGTCGGTCGGTCGGTCGGTCGGTCGGTCGGTCGGTCGGCCGGCCATACGAGGAATACATCATATTCAAATAATTCCGAGTCTCGTTGCGATAGAAAGCTCGTAGATTTTAATCCGGGCAGAGGCTCGCTGGCCAAGGGCGACATGATACGAAGAGAGCGCAATACGAAGTGCCGAGTGGGCGACTGCACGAGGGAGTGGCGCGTGCGCGGGATAACCGCCCGGACGTATTGGAGGGAGTCGCTCACGGGGAGGTTCGTCGTCCGCTCGCAGTCGTTCCAGTCGGGATGCCGGGTCTCGCCGCGCTCCCACGTTCATCGGCTACTCGGGATGATCGGTAAACGGACTGCGACACGTTCGCGCGTCGGCGCTTTCCTCAAGCTGCTGCTTCAGTTATCGCCGATTGCTATTGCTGCCGTACCGGGGTCCGTGCGCAACGACAATCAGTCGCTGACCATCGGTGAGTGTGCCATGTTAAATGAAAGTTAAGAAGGGACGAATTGACTTTTCGTGTCTCGAGCGTCTTCTTTATTTAAATCTCGATTATTGATGTTAACTTTGCCACTTATAATAAAATAAAAAAAAAACAATAATCATAACAACAAAAATATCAACAATAACAACTGTTATACATATGATAATATTGACAATAATAATAACAATAATACTAATTATTTAAGTAACGACAACGACAACGACGACGACGACGACGACGATGACGACGACGACGACGATAACAACTTCAATAAAAATTATCACGACGACGATTATAATGTTTACAATGATAATTATGATTATCAAATATTACTAAATTCCCATATACCAAATTATCGACGATTCATGATATAATTAGATTAATGGCTTTTGGTCATAGATAGTCATTCATTATAACAATTATTTTGATATTTGTTTTCTCTATGTACATGCGAGCTTGTTCCTTTATGCTATTTAATTGTATTTAAATGTTATTCTATTTTATAACTAACTATGTCTTTTATTTATTATTTGATTTAACTTGAATTTATTAAAAAAAATATAATTCTAGGATTTTTAACGAATGCCGACAATATGACAAATCAAGTACGTTATTCTTAACATGATAAATAATATAGCCTTTATAATAAAATCATAATTTATAATCAAATTTCGTTTTTTTTTTTTTTTTTTTTTTTTTAGGTAACTTTATATCTGACTTATTCGTAATGTATATATTATAAAGCTAATCGAATGAACATGAAAATAATATATTATTTCTAAATATAAATAGCAATCAAAGTTTATAAAATCATAAGTTTATAAAAATAATCAATATTAAGTGCGGTACTCTAGATACCAATATTTGTGCATTTATCTTTGCTTGTGCTGCTCATTAATTTGTCAATGTTAGTAATGAATGTATGGTGCACAGTGCTGATGTTTACGCATCAAGTTTTCGAAAAGAGTGCATACAGTTTCAGGAGATGAGATTTCTTTTGAGTGGTGCGAAAAATAGGCTGTGATGCAAGAGAAGAGTATGACTATCGAACTTGTGATTGTATTGAGCGTAAATAGCATTGCTGTGCGGAGTGATAGAAGTGATTGTTGACGGAGGATTTGAATTGCACTCGAGCTGAAAATGAGCTTTTTCATGTTCGCACAGTCGCTACACACATCAAATCCTAGTGGGGAAAACTTACATTTATAAAAGTTCAAGAACACTTCATGAATTTCGTGCTCGAATTATTCAATCCTAGTTGTTTGTGATATTCCTTTTGCTTTTTGCTGCAGCTAAGAACTTATTATTTTATTTTAGAAAATTTTAATTTCCACTGTACGTAAATTATAGTTTCATGAAATTTCGTTCATTTTAATAAATTAAAAAAACAATCTAGAATTTTTTTGTGCGTCACACTTCATTAATGTCATAGATTATTTTTCTATACAATTACCTTATGCATAAAATATAATGTTGGAAATTTACTAATACTAATATATGAAATGTATTAAAAAAAAATAATTAACTTTTTCAAAACCTATGGTTTTGTTGGAATAAAATTTGACAAATTTTAGATGATAATGTAATATGTAAATTTATAAAATTTAATTGGTAATAATTATTATAAATATATTAGAAATTATTAAAAACAATAATATCACATTAAATAAATTGTCTAATTTTGTGCATTAGATAAAACATATATATATATATATATATATATATATATTATAGAGTATAGTGTAAATATAATAATTAAATAAATAAAATAAAAATATTTTAAATAAAAATTTATGTATAAAAACCAAATACAAACTTCTAAAACTTGTGCTATTTATACTTACATATTTATCAAAATTTTTCATACACCAAGAAATTTTATTTCTTATTATTTAAAGAAAATTTGATACAAATAAATAATTCGGATTTTCTTATTATTATTATAAGTTAAATATAAACTATTATCAACTTTTACAAGAAATATAAATAGATGTTATAAAGGTAGAGGTGGTACAAAATATGGTGAATTTTTAAAAAATTCGAAATTCAATATTTGAACTTTATTAAATTATTGAATATACTTTATTAAATGTAAAAACAAGCCTAATATAATATATTAAAAATTAATAATATTTGTAAAATAATCATGATTGATAGAGATGTTGAAGATATTTGATTAAATTTATAATATGAGCTAGAAAGTATATTTAAGTATGTTTATGTTTAAGTATATTTACCATTTCATTAAGTTCAAATTCTTTTTGTATTTTCAACGATATTAAATTCAATAGCACTTAAATTCATAAAAATCTCCAACTATATATTCTTTATATAAAACTAAAAGTATAATCTACGACACTTCGTGCAAGTAGAAATTATAGCAGATATTAACAAAAAAAAATACTATATATATATATATATATTTTTTCTTTTTACGAGTAAGACAGAAATAAAAACGATAAACGAAGCTTTAGTAAAACTAACAATAATGTAAAATACTGCATAAACATAAAGATTTATTATATATTATTGCATGTATAGAAACTATCATTGATCAAGTGAATATTCAAACGTCTAGTTCGTTAAAACACAATATGGTTAATTTATTGAAAGTTCTGTTGAAGCACGATCTTGAATATATGTAATACAAAATTCAATATAAAATTGTATAATAATATTATTAATATAATTAAAAATATCTTCATATAAATAATATAAGCTTTTGTGCTGCTATTAAATAAATGTCTATGATGTAAGATGAAAAATAAATAAATCCATTATTTCAAATTGTTTAGAAATTGCGAATGTTTTAATTTCGATAAGTGTATACATGCAAATCATATTACTTTTGCTATTTGCGTTTGCTAAACGTTTCATCATATTATCGACCCTCTGTACTATAGTCTTAAGCAGCCATCATTAAGCAGCTGGGAAAAACGTAAAGTTAAAAGTTTATATGGTACTTGGTAGTCTTGATATTCGCGAGTAACTCTCATCCTCTGGCCAGGGCCGGAAATGCATGCAGCCACAACTTGCCACTCCTGATTGTAGTTGTCGGAGTAGTAAGAGGCAAGGACGAAGGGATAAATGCTTTGAACTTACAGTGTTAAATCCGGTTTGCCATCCACGCGTTCATAGTAAAGTATAGGCGTGCACGCATTACGTGTCATGCAGGGGAGTTTAATCAGTTTAGTGTTAGGAATTGTTGCCGACTGTAACCTACAATTTCAAGCCCATCTGATATTCGAAACTTGGTAACCGAATGGAAGCTCGTATACTTCCTAGCGTCGGAGAATGAAGAATGGAGAGAGAGTGAGAGAGAGAGAGAGAGAGAGAGAGAGAGAGAGAGAGAGAGAGGAAAGGAATAAAATCAAAGTTCCCTATTGGTATTCATATATTAAATATTTTCCTTTGATGTTAGGAAAGTTGACTTTATTGCATACTTACAAGATTACAAAAAAAAAATCCTACACTACGAAATACATATTTATTCATGATGAAATTATACAAATAAAATAATTTTTCATTTCATATTTTCGTATATACTGAATTAATAGGAAGATGATTATGTACATCCGTATTCTACCATTTAAAACTTATAAAACCAACTACCGCAGTTTAAAGCACATAAAAATGTTAATTTAAAAAAATTACATTGCCCAAGGGCATGGACATCCTTCATCTCAAGTCAAACTTTTGTACCTTAGAAATTTGTACGAAGCATAAACATAAATTATCATAAAAATATTAGATTTTCTTCACGAAAGAGAAAGTGCAAGTCATGTAATAGTTTTAAATTGTATGAAATATTATTTTTACTTTTATTCTACTATACAACAATTATCTTGATCGTTATAAAAAATGATATAATGTTATTTAATTTTTGTTATTAATAATTAGATTTTAAACTTATCCTTTAGGGAAAAAAATGTTTACAAAAAATTATGAATAATATTTTCTTCCTACTAATATTGTTATAAAATATTAATAGATTTTTAATTTTGAAAATGAATAGAATATAATTGTATCTATAATTAATTATTTTAGATATGTTAATTTATTAATATTAAGTTCCTCGACAACTTATCAATAACTTATAATAACGTGTAATAATTATATATACATATATATATATATATATATATATATATATATATATATATACAATTATCGCCGATAATATATTTTTTGGCCTAATATTCCCTTAATGTTTGATTAAAATTAATTAAATATGCCATTGAAAATATGGAGAATTTAACTACGTATTCACTAGGCTAAATCGTTGATATAAAAATGGTAAATTACTTTTATTAAAAATTTAAGCAGTAGCACAGAAAGTGTCATTAAGTGATCATTAAAGGTGGGAACGAGTTCGTGATTCCTTAGTACTTTTACCACCACATGGCTGTTAAGTTAGAATCGCCAGATTTTCAAGTCCTGAGTGTGACAGTCGTAAAATAATTATCACATCGGCAAACTTAATGGAGAAAAAGGCAAGTTATATAGCTGAATGTGACGCTGTGATGGGTTTACGTTCCTACAGCCGCCAGACATAAAACTGCTTCTCTACAGTGACATAAAAATCATGCGTCGTAGTCTCAACATTTTAATTTTGTTCTACAACTGTTTTTTTATTATTATTTTTAAAGAAGACATGCTTTAATAGACGAATTAACGTCCAAATGATTCTTTACGATGTTGAAAAATTGCTTTACTTATTACAATTCTATAGTGTAGAATTCTATAGGTAAATGTATACAGGATGAAATGAGTTTATGCAAAATGCAACACCACCCGTTTCTACTCCCTTTTCTCTAAAATGAATAAAGATTTTTTCATTAAATGTTGCGGTTAGTTTGTAAACGATTTATCAGTTTTAATATATGCAAATTATTGGATTAACTATCGTCTTCGTTTGTAACTATAATTATAAAATTTCTTTTAAAGATGTTTTCAAACATTTTATTTCTTTATACGTATTTCTA